AATCTCGTACTCTATGATCAAATTTGTCTACTGATAGCCAACTATAAATGGTCTCCGACATATATCTCGCTATTTTATCTCTAAAGCCAAGTCTATGACTTTATTATGCCCTAGTCTCTTGTGTGCCAACTCCCAAATGTGGTCGTTCAAGTTGATTTGAGTAGGCTTGCTGTAGACGTCTCCTTTTGGTTTTGGATCATTCTTCCCTGGTCTCATTATAAATTATTTTTTCAAAATAAAAAATATTACCTTGATCCAGTCGTCTTCTTTTTCTGACATTGCTATTCTCTGATCGTCCCCAAGTTTGCAAAGTTTTCGCTGATCCTGCCTTCTTCAAGTCTCCCGTTAATTAGATTTCTTTCAGTCAGGCTATCGATGGTTTCTCGTAACTTGCGATTTCTTGTATTTTGAACAAATGCAGCCAGCCTTTTAGTCGATTTCTTGTCCCGTTCGTGCAATGTGTTCCGTTATTTCGCATCTTTCTGTATCCATGTTTCTGCAGAGTCTTTGGTGCTCCTTGATTCATATACTGATTTTTTTCTATTTCACCAATATACTTTTTCTCACAGTTGCCACATTTGATGCTATAGACTCCCAGGCAATCCAGTTTGTCAACCTTCTTGTGTTACGTCGGGAAGTTGGTGAAGATTGTTGTCTGTTTTGTTATCAACTTGATATTCCATTTTCTCAGTAACCGTCATAATTTTGGGCTCATTTCACAGGAAGGCAAGCTTATCCACTTTGGGTAGTCCTTTCGATTCATGATTTTACTTTCATAATATCAAAATTGAAATCTGCTCATTATGACCCCTATATTTCTCTATGGAATCTCCGGGGTACTCATTACCAAGAAAAATCTGAGTCAATTTGTTCAACTCTTCGTCCCATAACTCCATGTCCGTTTGTATAAAGCTCTACGTAGTCTCCTCATAAGTGTCCTATTGGAGTGCATGACATCAACATCCAGGAATGGTAGTCATTCATCCTCCTCGATCTCCATTATGGATTTAATTCTTACATCAGGTTGGGTTATAAAGTTGAGAAATTCATCTAAATTTTTCTTACCATGCGAACAAAGTGCAAAGTAGTCATCCAGGAATCGCATAAGCATTATTGGTAACTTCTCGAATTTTTCAATGTATACATTTGACAATAGAGGCGAGAATGGAGATCTCATCAGTGGTTCACATATTTGCTCATAAATATTGCCGCTACATGTAAAATGTGGCCCTTACTATCAGGTGAATCAGTCATGTAAATGACTCCTACTGTATCCACTCTGCTCTTAGGATATCGTCTACTCGTTCCGATACCTCTGGCAGGGCGGTCATTGTCTTCTCACCTGAGATGTTTGTTCATAGATTGAATGTTAAAGCTTACCAACGATTCCTTCTTTGCCTGCCCAATGTTTTGAATCATTTTGATGAAATTAGCATTAATTCTTCACGCTTCAAGCATACAAATCTCGCTAAGGATCCTGGATCAACACTCCCAACATAGTGGGGGGAATGAGGGAACCAGCGAGGAGTATGAAAACGTTTCACTAAATCAATTAATAGGGTCACATCTCAACTAGGTTTAGATAAACAAGAAATTGGAATATTGAAGGAGTGATATGAGGATATAGGATAGGTGAATGCCCCATGAAAGGAAAGATACCACAACTGTTCAACAGACAATCGGTAAAAAGGATCGACTTCACTTGCTTCTTTGAAGAATTGTAGTACGGTGCTAAAAATGGCAAGGCTCCCTGACGATGCCGGCGATACGTCTGGGAATGTACCCGACTCTGGACATGGTTCTTTCCTCTAGAGCTTCCTGCCGATATGGCCAAGTTGCAAAAACAAGGTTAGCCAACGAAAAGTCATACATTCTTGGTTTGCATATCTAAAATATATGAAATTTGAATATTTATGCAACCTTGTTAGTGGCCAGTAAGTGATGTAAATATCAACGTAAATTCACCTTTTGAGCAACTAATATATAAAATACTTAATATTTGAAAAAAACATTTAAAATACGCCACTTGTCTTACCCAGAAAGCTCTGTTTCGCCAAAATACTTTGTTTCTTCTAGTTCTTTCTTTAAGTGATCTCTTTCATCTCGAAGCTGATAGATCTTCTTTTCTGCCTCTTCCTTTAGCACTAGCAAATGCTCCAGCTTCTCACCTTGGCCTTCGAAACGCTCGACTATTTGGTTAAGATCCGAAACACCGGTTGCTTCCTTAATTTTTTTGAAAGCCTCCTCAAAGTTGGCGATTCGAGTCTGCTGTTCCTCTCCAACGCCAAGGCCAATAGTATTCGCGGAAGCCAAAGTACTTTTGTCGGTGGCTGCATTAGTTCGACCTTGGGCGCCACCACCTTCCTCTCCTGACGAAGAGTCCCTTAAGGCCTGAAAATTTACAAACAACGTTGTAAATAAAGGCTTAAGCTGCTGGGAAAATGCTTGGAATAGAGCATAACTAAATAGGAGGATTACATAGAAAATACCAGAAGGAAACTAATAAGAATGTTGATAGAATCTTTAAAACATAATGAAATTAAATATTTAATAGCTTCCTGGTGGGACCTAGGCAGTAGTCACAATGAAGACTTGATGATAAAGCCAAGCACCTAACTGGTATTCAAATGGAATTAATTATATTAATAATGTCGCTTTTTTTAATATTTCGCTAATTACGGTTACCTATTGATCAAACAAAACTTGAGTAGAGTAAGCACAATAAATTTTCGTTTAATAAGAAAGTTTTCGGGACGAACAGTAGATCACATATAATAATTGTATATTTCGTTTGAGGTTAAAAGGACTGCAAGTTAAATTTTCTCACAATAATATGAATAGGCCTTACCTTTTCATAATATTTCACATAGTCTTGATTATTAAAACATATCCCCATTCAGAGTGAACTAAAGTCTCGTACTCGTATAGAAAGTAAACGTGTAGAGATTAAACGCTCCACTAACTGGGTTGGAGCCCCATGCAAGGTGGAAACTGCAGTCTTCAATGGATGAGAATACCCTTTGGGAAGTAAAACTAAGTGAAATTCAATGAAAACGTGAAGCCTACCAATATTACTGGTGAAAAATTTAACTACTAGTCCTTTATCACTTGAAACTAAATAGGATGAATATATCTCATATCAGCACAATAACATTTCTTAAATGTTGGTATTTAATTTTGGGGGCTAGAAGTTCTTATATAATTATTAGAAACTAAGATCCCAATTTATCTACCCACTAAAAACTTAAAGATAGTTAATTCTAGTACATATAAAATTTTTTTAAATAATAGCGAAAAATTAGTTATCATCTTTACTTAGTTGTGAGATAATAATAAAAAAAATTAAAATTCTAAAGGTATCTTATTTAATTTAAAGGAAAAAGATAATTGTATTTTGTTATAGGTTGTACTTGGCCAAAAAAGACATGAAAAGTAATTTAAGAGTGAACAAATAAAGCCAAAAGCAAAAGTCTTTAAAAAGATAAAATATTAGGATATAAAATTCGAGTTGATAAGTCTAAAAATATTCAAATATCTTGTTTATTTAAACTTTTATGTATGCATATTTAAAGAATACTTCGTAATATAATAGCCCAAATGTTTTAATCATATTAATCTTTAC